GAACTAAAGAAAAGAATCTATTGCTTTGTCAGAAATAACTGCCCAGTTTTCTTCCGAGGAAAGATAGAAGGTTGTTCTCTTTTTTAATCTAAGGTGTCCCAGTACTTCTCCATTTTTATGGGAATATAGAATGGTCTAAACATTATGAAAAGAAGTAGGCTTAAAATGCAAACAACTTTAGTATAATTCTCATTGCCTCCATGTAGGGTAAATTTAAGGAATCATGGGCTGTAGAGCTGTAAGAAGAATATAAATTCATGTATTGACATCCCCCATGTTGTAGGATTAAGTTTAGTATGACTGAAATATGTTTGTTCTCAATAATCTCCAATTAAAGATATCCTAAAATCTCTGTTGATGATAACTTTCAGTGGTTCCATCACCTTTTTGTTGAAAGATTTTTCCAGTTTAAATATTACTTCTGCAGAGCCATTGCAGTCAAAACAGTTTAGAACAGAACAGCACTAGGGCAAGACAGTTTTTTTTCTTTAATTACAGTTTTTTGGGTTTTTTTCCATGACAAATACCTAATCAGAAACAATGATCTGTGTGTCATGACTTACATAAACACAAATTACATAAACCAAATGTAATGCCATGACTTGAATTAGGAATGGCTTAATGCTCATTAGAAGGATTTTGTTTGTGTTCTTATAACCTATTAAATTTGAGAAAGCACGTTCAAAACAGTACTAATGTCTGATGTGTGGGGTAAATTTTCGTCTCTTCAAGTTAAACAGAGGACTTCATGTAGTTCTGTTGAGAGTGAGAGCTGGCAAGGAATTGTTAAGGTTTTAGTTCATGACTATATTTTTCACGGATAGTTGTTTATGTAAATAAATAAATGAGAAATTCAAATAATTATATGACATAGTGGAAGATTAAGAGGATTGCAATGGTCTTTTATTTACACAGTATTTCATTTCACAATCTTAAATAAAACTGTATCATATATGAGGCTTTCTCTTACTGAAAATTAATCGTGCCTAGGAAAAGAAACTGATGGCCACAATTGTCATTCCAGATTGTGCAATCACAGAGTCAGTGGATAATTCAGGTTGGAAGGAACCTCAGGAGGTCTCTAGTCCAACCTCCTTCTCAAAGCAGGGTCAGCTATGAGATCAGACCGTATCCATTTGGGTCTTGAAAACCTTCAAGGATGAAGACTGCCCAAACTCTGTGGACGAACTGTTCAACTTGCTTGACCATCTTCATGGTGAAGACATGGCGCGATTTTTTAAAAAAATATTTATTTATTTATTTGTTTGTTTGTTTAGACAGGCCCATATCCAGCTGTATACTAAGACTGCTCCATGACAGGACTGATGTGTTAACAGAATAGGAGATGTTACCTCATTTTGTGGCTGGGTCTATAAGCAGAGGTCGCAGCTGTTTCCCTATTTACTGCAGGAACAGGGGAGAGACTGTAGATGTCTTCTACACGGCTATTTTCTGTTTAGACTTTGTTGTGTACAGCTGCAGCTGATGGATTGGTTGAGATGTTCTGGTAAGTTTTACTCATGTTACAAGTTGCAGGCTGATCATCCATGCTGAGAGCCACTGAAGTCAAGGAATGAGACTTTTAGCTAGGCTCAGTGTTTTTTGAAAAAAGTCTAGAGAATGCATGACTGGTATGAAACGATGCAGGTGGCCTGAATGCAGTGATGACATGTACTGAAAAACCCTATAGTGACTAATGATTTTTGATAAGAAATTCCAGGCGTAGAATTCAGAAGACTCTTATCAAATAGACTTAAAGAGATGTCACTTCCACATTCTTCATGCAATCTTAGCATCCATGGAGAGTCTATGAACATTCCAGTGCAGGGAACTGAACTGACTGGGATTCATGAAGTAGAATTCAGCCAAAAAAGACTAAAAGTATGCTTTTCTGCCCATTGACAAGATATCTATAATATTTTAGCTGATTCAATCATCTCTTCTTCATCCATGAGCTGATTTCATCCAAGGACTATGGTAACTTGAGAGGTCTTCCATTCTTGTCTGCATTGCAGTCTGGACTGTATTATACTCATGTTCCCAATACTAAAGACCATTGTATAGAACCAGTATCTATTCCACTTTGTATAATAATAATAATTATTATTATTATTTATTATTGTTTATTAACATATATTAGCAAGACACCTTACTGGATAAACAGAATTCAGGCACTCTAGGAACTACTGGATTAGATGTTCAGTATGTAATTTAATAAAACATTGTGGCAAGCTCAGACTTAACCAATATTAGAAAATATATAGCTGAGCATAATTCAAAGACTGTATTTGTTATGTTAGTAAGATTTTCTGAAAACAGAATGACAAAGCTTTTAAACTGTACTCTTTACCATGGAAGTAGACAGCATTATAGAACTTGTATGCTACAGTTCTAGCTTTTAACATGAATAGATTCCTCATGTAAAAAATTTCAGGCATTATAACATAACTTTATTAATATGCATCATTATAATATGCCCTGCAGCACCACCAAACAACTGTATCAAATAATCTGTATTTTTTGTTCTTTCTAACCTAAAGATTAATACATTTACACAGTTCTCAATTTTAAATTAGGGGCAAAAAGATAAATAAATATGTCTCTCTCAATTGAATGCAAAAATTGCTTCATATATCTTATAGCTTCATAAAACTAGCAGGGGATTTAATACATACAGTTGAATCGTACGTTATTGCTGCTCTGCTGCACTTAGAAATTGAATTTAAATTATATCTTTTTTAGTTCAATTAACAAAAATATTGCTTTCATGATGTTTGTTCCCACTTGGTTCATTGTTCTTCTGTTCCAAGGAATGAATGAATCCTAAAAGAATTATTTCCCATGGAATTTTAACCTTTTATTATAATCCAAATAGTTGGTAAAGCTTAATAATTATGTTGATTCTTTTTGTAGGGATATTCAAACCTTAGAAATGAAGTGCTGTTATGTGTATGTAAAAATAAAACTTTGGTTACATTTCAGATTAATTATCACGTATCTGTCTTAAGGATTAGTTTAAACACATCTGTCATTTAAATATTTGTGCTTTTGCTTTAAATTAACCATTCCCACACTCATAATTAATGGGATGCATTACTCTTTCACTTTCTGGAATCCAGTTAAGTTAATTATGCTTTCTTTATCGTGCTGTGTGGTGGGTTGACCCTGGCTGAACGTCAAGTGCCCACCAAGCCGCTCTATTGCTCCCCCTCCTCAGCTGGACAGGAGGAGAAAAATATAATGAAAGGCTTCTGGGTCAAGATAAGGACAGGGAGATCGCTCAGCAATTACCATCACGGGCGAAACAGACTTGACTCAGGAAAATTGATTTAATTTATTACGAATTAAATCAGAGTAGGGTAATGAGAAATGAAACCAAATCTTAAAAACACCTTCCCCCCACCCATTCCTTCTTCCTGGGCTGAATTTCACTCCTGATTTTCTGTACCTCCTCCCCCAAAGCAGTGCAGGGGGACGGGGAATGCGGGTCGCGGTCGGTTCATCACATATTGTCTCTGCTGCTCCTTCCTCCTCAGGGGGAGGACTCCTCACACTCTTCCCCTGCTCCAGTGTGGGGTCCCTCCCACGGGAGACAGTCCTCCACAAACTTCTCCAATGTGAGTCCTTCCCACGGGCTGCAGTTCTTCATGAACTGCTCCGGTGTGGGTCCTTTCCACGGGGTGCAGTCCTTCAGGAACGGACTGCTCCATTGTGGGTCTGCCACGGGGTCACAAGTCCTGCGAGCACACCTGCTCCAGCATGGGCTCCTCTCTCCACAGGGCCACAGGTCCTGCCAGGAGCCTGCTCCAATGCAGGCTTCCCACAGAGTCACAGCCTCCTTTGGGTGCATCCACCTGCTCCGGCATGGGGTCCTCCATGGGCTGCAGGTGGATATCTGCTCCACTCTTAACCTCCATGGGCTGCAGGGGGACAGCCTGCCTCACCATCGTCTTCACCATGGGCTGCAGGAGAATCTCTGCTCCACTGCCTGGAGCACCTCCTCCCCCTCCTTCTTCACTGACCTTAGTGTCTGGCAGAGTTGTTTCTCTCTCATATTCTCACTCCTGTCTCTGGCTGCTGTTCCCCCCAGCTGTTTCTTTCCTCCTTCTTAAATATGTTATCCCAGAGGCGTGGCTCTATCGGACATGGGGGAAGCTTCTAGCAGCTTCTCCCAGAAGCCACCCCTGTAGCCCCCCTGCTACCAAAACCTTGCCATGCAAACCCAATACACTCTGTTTTTGTTAATAAAGTCTTTATTTTATATTTCATCTTTGTATATTACATACAAGTTACTTTTAACAGCAGAGGCTTCTTAATGACTTTTTCATGATTAACTGGTAAGTTATTTTATACGTAATGCTCTTTATAGCTTTTGAGTTCATCTGTGAAAGTAAATCAAATGACTACGTTCAGAAGGAAATGGTTTTGACTGTATATGGAAACACTCTTTAAATATTTTGTTTGAGATTGTAAGTACAACATTCTGTACATCCAGCAGAAACGTGTCTGAAAAAAACTACACTTGGGTACCTAAAATAAGAAAGAAAATATGAACCCAAATTAAAATACAAGTTCTAATCTTTGATGAAAATATCATGTAATTTCACAGGCTTTTTTTACACTTTATGGAAGATTGGAATCAAGTGTAACAATTTATCTTAGATAGTTATGCCACTGAACTGTAAAAAAAGATCATAAAGCTAGAGCATACTGTGATTCAGACTTGCAATACTTTGATTCTATAGGGGCCATTTAGGGGTTTTTTTCACTTTTCTTGGGGAGGGAAAAAAGTAATATACATATATGTATATACACACACACACATATATATATTCCAGGGACTGCTTTCTCTAAAGAAACAGAAAATATTTGTCAAGATGTTGGAATTAATCAGAAAATAATATTAAAGTTTTGACACTTTTAGGGAAAAAAAAAAAAGAGAGCCAATGCCCATTTTGTAGATATTTTGTATACATTATCCTATTATTATGTCTCATCAGGTGCTACAACTATTGAAAAGTATGATCTCAGAACAAATATATGGATCCAGGCTGGAGTGATGAATGGCAGGAGGCTTCAGTTTGGTGTTGCTGTCATCGATGACAAGCTGTTTGTCATTGGAGGCCGAGATGGTTTAAAGACACTAAACACCGTCGAATGTTACAATCCAAAGACCAAGGCTTGGACTGTGTTACCACCAATGTCAACACATAGGCATGGCTTAGGTAAGGAAAAAAAAATGTTTTAAAAAGACACCACATTTTTCAGATATGTAATTTGTAATGGAAAACTCAGTACTTTTAAGCTATCGTAGCACTCTAAACAGTAGCAATAACTGATTACATTGTTCTTCTTAGAGCGTTAAGAATATATAAAAGGTTTTTATTATTTACCAAAATAATACTGGGAAAAAACAAAACAAAACAAAACAAAGAAAAGGTAGAGGAACAGGGAAAGAAACCCTGAAACTTACACAGGTTAGTGAGAAAATTCAAGTTTGTATGCACTGATTTTGAAAAAGGACACCTTTATTTACCAAACAATCAAGGTATTATTTATTTTTAATCAAAGCATTATGTGTTTTCATTTATCCGGTATGATAGGAAATAAAGGCTATAAACACTCTGTCAGTGATGGACTGATGTACTTTACAAAGTATTTGTAGCAATAGTTTCATCATGACTGAGAGCATATTTTCCCATAGCCTGTTTTCAGGTAAGTTGTTTTTTGTTTTGGTTTGTTTTTTTTAATAGTAGTATCCATACCACTGTCAGCATTAAGCAAGCCACACTGTATCCCTGTTCTCTACTCAAAGAAATATACATTTGGTGGGTTTTTTTAATTATTTTTTAAATTAAGCAAACAACAGTTATATTATTTCCTTGAAAAAAAAGTAGTCTTTCTATTACAAATATCATATATACACAGTAGGAAAAAATTTTTTTAAATTATTTTTTAAATTAAGCAAACGACAGTTATATTAGTTCCTTGAAAAAAAAGTAGTCTTTCTATTGCAAATATCATATATACACAGTAGGAAAAAAGCTCTAATTTATTCAGTTACATAAGTAATTTTGTGATGTTTCAAAAATATCCTTTTTTATTCTTAACTGTACAGTGACGAGATTTTCTCACTTAAAGAAAGGAATTTAGAATCTGTAGGACATACCCACCAGAATATAACATGTATAGGGTATAGAAAACTGAACTGTTCATTATCTGTTCTGCTAAAATCACCTGGTGTGATAGAATCATTACAACGTCATGAAAAATAGAAATGGAAAAGACATGCTAGGTTATCATGTCCAGTCCCCTGAGTTAGTCAACAGCAAGTCCTTTAATGTACTACTGTATCAATGTCTCGCAAAATGAAGGTGCTTTTATTTTTTCCCCCTGCCATTTGACACATATGATAATATGCATTTGTACAGTGGCTGACATAATGCATTTTTGCTATTAAACATGTCTTACAATAAAAAGTAGTGATAGGAATCTATGTCAAATCACATCATGACACTAAATAGCTCTGTGATTTGAAATTGTTTCCTAAGTGTAAATTTAATTACAATGTTGCAGAAATACATGTAATGTCTTTTTTACCAATGTTCCAGAATTTTACAGAATCTGTTATAGTTTCAATGCTGTTCCACAGGTGGTAAAAATGCTACAACTTAAGCTATAACACAGGAAAGTATTAATAAAACATTAGGGAATGCTTGATAGTGAAAAAACTTTTCCCAGTGACAAGAGAGATGGAGCCATGACAGAAACCCCTTTGTGATTAGTTAAAAAGACATGTATGATTTTGGATTGGTAATTCTACAGATGCTTTTGGTCAATAGATTTAAAAAATACCTTTATAGTTTAACTAAAGCTGTTCAGGAATGTGGAGGTTATGACTGGAGAAAAACTGATATATTTTCTACAGGAGAAAAAAGGGAACACACAAGGCATTTGACCACTTGAGGGTTTTTTGATTTTGTGTGGAATCGCTTTTGAATTTTTATATTGCAGAAATTGGGGCTTTTTGTAAACAACATGTAAAATGAGGAAAGAAGTATAAACTGGGATTTTATTTGTGATGATGAAGATGATTAAATGCAGTTGTTTGGGAAGCAGTAGAGATGTGCTCTTTTTCTTTATTTGGAATTGTGTAAGAGTCATGATATATTACTTCCTGAGAAGCTTAGGTAATAGAATTTAATTGCTTTTTTTCATTTGATTTTTTTTTCCAGGAACCCCATAAAGTTATTATTTTAGTAAATGCCCTTTGTAATAAGAAATTAATCTGCAGTAAGAAATCTTTTTTCATTTGTTTTCTAAAATATGTGTTAAGTTATACCCATGTAGTGATAATGCTAGAGCTGTTTGAATTGGATTTTGTATACAAGATTAGAAATAGGCATCCATCCTTTAGACTGATGTATTTTTGTTGACGTCAGCAAAAAAAATTCAGATGTACCTCATTGTAACTAAAGTCACAAACAGGCAATACAGTTGACTTTATTCTGTCTTCATATAGTCTTCAATAGATCTATGTGTGTAGAAGGTGATATACGTAGAAATGAGAAATGAAAAAATGAAAACTGACAGGTCTTGTAGTGAAAGTACATAGTGTAGGAAGTCATATGTTAGGCAGTTTCAGTGCTGTCAATGGAAGATGAGTGGAAGCTGTGGTAGTGGTAGTGTCTGGAAAAAGTGGTGCTAAAGTACAAAAAAGAAAGGGTAGACAGTGGGATCCAAAACTATTTTTTCAACTAACAGTGATTCTAATATCCCTGTCAAGTAGGCCATAAAACAGTATGAAATACAAAAAAGTAATAAGAAGCCAGAAAGGCAGTGGAAAGCACAAATGAAATATGGGGAAGGTGAAACAGAAAGACCAAATCAAGACCCATGTAGAGAAGGCAGAAAGAGACTGAAAGAAAAAAGAGGAGAAAAAATGTAAAACAGATTGTGGATTATAAGTTCAGCAAAGAAATGGGAAAAGTGGGTACAGAATTGCTTCATAAAAGGACTTGGTAGGCTACATAGAGGAGGAGGAGGAAGAGAGGAAATAAGGAATCAATGATAGACTAAATTTAAACTTTAGATATCAAATCCAGTGGAACAATGGTTTAAAAAAAAATGAAAAAATGAAGGAACCAAACAAAAGAATGATACTCAGTTTGTCTTTCCAAAGTAAAAAAACTAAGTGCCTCAGTAAGAGAATTAGGCTTCCAGTATAGTTAGGGGAGAAGGGCAGTCTTTTCAGGTTGGTGTCCTAAACTGTCTTGCCCTTTCCATGAACTATGTAAAGAGTGTCTAAGCTCCTATTTTAGGCTAGATGTACACTGTTTGTTAAGCCTAGACTTCAGCTTTGGATTTTGGCTTTGTAAATACACTAATCTTACTGTCCATGGTCAAACATGTATTTGCAAGATGATCAGCATGGGAAGAAGGATAACAGGGTATTACCTAACAAACTCCTCTGCAGCTTAGAGCGGAGGCAGGTGACATATTTTTCCTCCTCCCTACTTGGAAGAGAGAATTTTGCCAGCTGGAATTGTCTGAGAGAAAATGCTATAAAAATATTTATTACTGATGGGAAAGCCTTAGATTTATTTATATAGCATATAGGCCTAGGGTAGATAGAATTCTCTCTACATGAAGAATGGTCCCAGAGGACCTAAAGAGTTTAGGAGTCTCAGTTTACACAGTAGGTTATGGCTTCAACCCATTGTTCTGAACCAGCTAAATATGTAATGTAAATGCATTCTTAAGGACCTAAGAGATATGCTTAAAATTAGACAGAGTGAATACTTGCCTATAATGTGATTATCCTGAAACTGGTATGTGCAGAAATGGAATATCTAAAAGAGTAAGTTCAAGAATCAAAAGTGGAAAGAAAATGCAGGAAGTTAGGGAGCTGTAGGTTAAAATATCCCAGAATATCTTTGATGGTGATGACAAAAATGTCAAATGGCATTATGTGTTTGCACAAACGTCTATTTCTATATTTCATTGAAAGAGGATGATCCACCTTGCTTCTTAGACCCAGCTTGATTTTCCACTTCCATGCTTACTGCTCTAGAATCCAACACACGAGGTAGAAGGAAGGAAAAAAAAAAGATTAGCTGGAAAAAAAACCAGGGATAGCTCTGTAATTTTTAAGTAGTAATGAGAACTGTTAATGGAGGAAAAGATTGTGGAGAAACTGAAGTATCAGTCAAAAAGCCATTAAGTTATATAATAAATGGAATAGGTAAAATCACAGCTAACAAATCAAAAATAAGATAGGACATTCTATTTTGGCCAAAATCAAAGACATGATTACCCTTTTTTTGATCCATAAATAGTAATGGTACATAAATGCATATATATGCATACCAATTCAATTATATATGATACGTGTGTGTATATATATACACACATGGATATATGTCCATGTATATCATATATATCATGATGTTCCTGTGTGTATGTATACACACACACACACACATCTGGTTAGTCTAAACTTATTGTGTTTTTTTTCTGTGGACATTGTGATTCGTAGCACTATCAATGCCTTGGTCCATAATATAGAACTAGTAACATTTTTCAGCTTGTAAGTTATAAACTATCCTCAACTTCACCACAAAGTAAATTAAACCAGTTTACCTGAGTTAGAAGCATTCATTTATTTCCAGATCTGTGTGCCTCGTAGAAAAGCTGTGGGTCCTTTCCTTGCATTGTCAGCAGTTATAATGTATGCAATGTCCAAGCGTGAAGAAGTTTAACTGATAGCTGAATTCCAAATGCAGCTGCATACTTAAGTCATTACATTCCTGAAACTGATAATAATAGGAAGGTTTGAATGTTTATTGAATACTTCATTGCTCTTAGTAATTTTACTTTGCATAGAAGACCGTTTTTAAAATAATAGAAAAGCTTAAAGTTAATGCTTCTATTCATCTAAATTTTCTCCTCTGCACTTTAAATACAAGACACTGAATAAAGTAATATTTCCTAAATTATGAGGTGCAATTTACTTTTTATGGATGTAAATTTGCATTAAATGCTAGTGACAAAAATGATAATCCAAAACACTGACACCAGTCAAGGTGGAAATTTGCAATACAGGCATGGAACTATAAATTTACAGAACTATTGTTGTGATTCTTTAAAAGGACTATACATATTAAAATTTACAGGGAATAGAAATGCAATTAAATATTTTATGAGTTTTAAGAATAATAAATAT